ATTATTGTAACTTTTGGCCGGCTCTTTTAGAATTTATTACATAAAATTGAATTAGTATAAATACTCTTTTTAGTATATTAATTTCTTGCCTGAAAAAAGAGTTCCCAAACATACCTCGTCCAACTGGCATAAAAATAAATATTTCATTCTTTTTGTTCAGCTATGAAATGAGGAATTTAAACCTTTTTATTACAATATATTGACATCTTTCTTACTTAATGAATGACTTAGACTAATATTAAACTCGAATTTTATTTGATACCTAATTCCACAACTTTTAATAGATGCTTAAATACTCCTCACTAATATCTTAAGTATATATTTGAATTTAATTTATGATTATTTACCACAATTACCCTTTTACGTGTTCGGATGTGGTCTCTGAATTGTAGTTCCAAATTTGAATAAATTACTTAAAAAAGTCATTAGAATTTAAATTTTATGAGATCTTTAATAAAACTAAAAATGATGCTTATTTTAAAAATTTATAAGCCTAAATCGATTGTTAAATCATGTTTCATGCCTTTTACATCGTTTTGATGCTTTTTATATGCAAAGATTATCCTGATTTTGTCATCTTTCAGATTTTTGCATGGTTTGATGACTCTTCGATGTTAGACAAATAATATACAAATAGAATAGAAAATGCGTTGTACAATTATTTATATATCATTCTATTGAAAGATAATATAACTGATTTATGGACTAATAACAATTTTGTTTTTAATAAAAAAACAGGAAAAGAAAGCATCCTGAAAGAACTCTGATTGGAAAAGGTGAATATTGTTAGGCTGAGGGGTATGTCGTTTTGATTAGATTATAATTTTGTAAAAGAAAAATTTAAAGAAATAGGGTAGAAAAGTTAATATAAGACAGTCAAATAGGGGATAGTGAAAAGGTTATGTCATCTTGCGGAGAACTGATTTTTTTGAAACTTAAAAAATTCTAAAAAATCTTTTCAAGATAATAGAACAGAAAGGACTATCAGAATAAAAAAATAATAAAATTGAAAAATAATAAGAACCTCAAAGTATTCTTTTTCATATATATATAACAATGCAACTTATAAGTTTTAGTATTAATAGATTTTTTGTATCTGATACATTTCTTAACCCTAACCACTAAACAATCCATCATATCATCAACTTTTATGTATCTCTCTTTTTCTCATTTTAATTTGTAGTACCCAATATTATTTATTTATTGATATTTTGTATTCAAATCGCACACAAATACCAAATTATATTTAATTCATCTTTCTATAATTTCTATTTTGTTTTTAATGTTTTTTTTAAAAAAAAATAAATAATGGGAAAATGATATCAAATAAAGAAATAAATTCTGACCCTTATATTTATTCGCTTTATTTATTTGCCATAAATTATATTCTAGCGCTAGAAATTAGGGTTCAATTGGATTCAGTCGGTTATGACTCTGCAGATGGTCAAACTGGTCTAATGTTTTACACGTAATTATAGCTACAGAAAACAAAAAAAAATAATTGAAAAAATCGAGATTTATTATAGCTAACAGGTAATATGTGGCGTAATATATTGTGAAATAATAAGGGAATATTATAAAATATATTTGATCCAAGGTTTGTCTTCTACTCTATTAAATTATATTTTAAATCCAATGTGTATAATTATTGTCTTAAAAATTTCAAAAATCATTTTCTTCTTTACTTACCTTTGTTATGTATTACCTAAGGGGGACCTAAAAAGTTGCAAAAAAGGAGCAGTTCAATAAAAAAATTTAAATAAATAAATCAGTATATATATGGAATGAAAAATAAAATGTCATAAAATATGTTTTAAAACTAAGAGAATCCTTATTGTGTTTTACAAATATTATAATAAGAATTTTATTTAAAAATTGGATCATTTTTTTCTCTAAAATTATTTATTACATTTTGATTATTAATTATTTTATTATTAGTTTTATTTTATTTGACAAAACGGGAGATGGTCGAGTTCGCAAACTTATTTCACATGCTTGGAAAGAATATCGGAGTTCCAAAAATCATATTTAATTTAAATCCTCATACCCGGTGGTTCTCATCCAATGAGCCTAGGTTTTTAAAACTGCAAAATGCAACATAGAGGCTCTTTCATTCCTTGGTCCTAATTCAATAACTTAGCACTCCTCCCTTTCCGCATAGAGTGGTAAATGTAATTCTCTATGTAAATTCTTGGCTTGAGGTTGAAAACAATTTGTTATACTCAGTGAAATATCATGAATTCGAATTAATAATTTCGATATCAACTCAAAACTCTATGATTAATGGGAGATGTTAGGAATAAGAATTTAGATGGCCTTCTGACCAAAGCTCATTTACAGTTTGCAAAATTATTTGCAAATATTTACGCTTGCTGTGTTAAAATTTAATATTCTATAAGCGAGCAATAAAAAATCTACAAATATTTTGATGCCTCAATGTAAAGTATGCATAAATTCTGAAATAGAATTTGCCGTAAATTTGGAGTATACGCTCAAGATTTTAACATAAAAATGCAAGAAAAATTAGTTTCTTTTGATGGTTATAATATATTGAAAATATTTATTCCTAGAAAGATAAAATATAATTTAGGGTATTAAAAATAATAATATTATTTTAATATAGATCTATTCTATGATATAAGAATAAATTTATAAAACTGAAACAACTCTTTTCATAAATTTAGGACACAAATTTTTTATTAATATTAATTATAAATTTTCATTATATACGCAAAAAAAAAATTCTTTAAAAAAATGACCATTTAGAACTTTGGGCACTTTTTACTATCTATTTATTTGACTCCTATCTAATAAATTTAAAAAAAAAATTTTTATTCACCATTTCGTCAGGTCAAAGGAAGTATTGAACCAATCGGTATTTCATTTATTTTTTATTTGAATCATGACTGCCACATTTGGTTATAATCATATATTTAAAAAATCGTACCTTTTGTAAAGCCGTCTGTGGCTTAGTCGATAAGAGAGTGGCTTGCCAGTCCGATAGTTCTGGGTTCGAATCAAGTAAGAACTATATCTTTTTCTGAAACTAACTTGGTGGTTACATCGGGGATGATATATAGTTGATCGAAAGCGACATTCAATCACTCTTAATATAATTTTTTTAAAAAATGGATTTTATTGCATTTTAAAATATAATTGGTCGTTGTTTAGCAAATTATGTCTCTTTTTAGGAAATTGCTATATGTTGATTTAGCAGGTATTTGTCATTAACCTTTCGGGAAATTGATCGCCTTTCACAGAAGCTTAAAACACTTTAATTACAAAATCCTTATAATTTATAATTTTCCCTCTCCATTGGACAAGCATATTTTTTGGATAATGCTAATTATGTTTAGGCGAGATTTATTGAAAAGTCTAATCAGGCCTTTTTTGCCTAAAATCTAAGCTTAGCCTATTTCAGTTTGTCTAAATTTAGGCTTTCTACAACACTACTAGAGAATATCCTTTTTTAAAATTAAAATAAATTTTTATTACTCAAATAAAAATATATATATAATATATTCATCCAAAAATATTTTAAAAAGGAAAATTTTGTTTTAATTACTCTCCCTCGAAAAACTTAGTATTTATAGACAAAATTCATAATTAATTTCATAAAATAATATTTGAATAATTAGCTTTTAGTTCATTTATATTACTTATTTACTATTACACAACCAAATATGTGTTAAATTGCATTTTACAGTTGTATAAATATATACTATTTTAGAATAGTCTAAAAAATAATTCAAACTAGAGCAATACAAAATATATTTTTAAAGGGGGGGGGGGGGTTAGGTATTTGAAATGTTACTGGCTTCCCCTGCCCTTTCTTCTCGTAGTTATCTCACTGATTACTATTATCTTTAATAACTAAATAATGGATATATTTATTTAAATATTAAAAAAGATAAAAGTTTACTATGAATTGATTTTTAGTTAATGTACATGTACATGAACACATAAATGTTGATTATTTAATGCCTAACACTTTATATTCCGTTTCATTCAATTCATTTGTCAAGTAATTTAATTTAGTTGGGTAATTTGTATTGCATAATATAATAAAAATGATTTGATGATATAATTAAAATATTGATAATTTAACACTTTTCATTTTTAATAAATTTAATGCAGAATAAAACTTGCTTAATAAAAAATAACATTTTTTAGATGGGGCTGAACCTAACTGGACCGATGGTCCCACGGTCTGGTCTCATTTGACTTAACAGTCCATCGGTCCCATTTTAGATAAAAGTACCGAACGAGACCAGTTGCAAACACTAGTCTAGAGTCTAACTTTGAGATTTCAATAAAGCGCACTTTGTATTTAGAAGGCCCTAGTTTTTCCATGGTGGTAAAACCTCTTTAAGACATCGTCAAGAAAAAACCTGGAGCTTTGTCATCTCTAACAAGACAGTCCAAATATGTGAAAGCATTTAGCCACGTCATTTAACTCAAATAATGTCTGAGTCATTTTCACATTTAAGTTTGAGATTATAGAGAAACCTTCACTCTTTTTTTATCTTTTATCTATTGTGGATGGTCACAATGATACCATCATTTAATCAATTTTTTTAAAAAGGTTAAATAAAGATTTTAGCTAAAAAATAGCTGAGCTCGGATTTGGTCAAAAAGGGTCAAATTTTTCTGCTAGCTATATGCAAAATCTTTAATACGTTAACATTTTTTGGCTAAAATCTTTATTTTGACATATTTTTTTAATAAGATAAATTGACGAATCATATGATTGAAAATCTTTATATAATTTTTTTTTTACTATAACAATACATTTCACCAAAAGTGATATTTGGCTGAGCTCGTCAGGCAGGTGTAAGGGGGGGGGGGGGGATAAATTTTTTATTTTTAAAATTTAATATTATATTATTATTAATAAAAACATATAAGGAGATTGCTATATAACCCAAAACCACTATTCAGTTCAGTTAATTATCAAGAAAGCTTATATATATTGTCTTAAAATTATTTTTATTTTACAGATTCAAGCGATCATATTGCGAAAAGTGAGTAAAACTTTACACCCATTAATAGCTATACTCGGCCCATTCTCCAGTCCTGAAACAGATTTAGTCGCTAATTATCTGTCTAAATACAATATAGCCCAAATCAGTCCAGGTGCCAATGCCGTGTGGCTGAGATCTAACAAAAGGTAGATAAAATGAAATAATGATTTTTTAAAATTATTCCTATTTTATTATGATTTTTATATATGATAATTTGATAAAAGATAATTCGTCGGTAAAATTGGAGGGCTCTCTATATTTTTAATATTTTTGATGGAGTTAACAAAGACAGGACATAGAAAATTTCATGATATATATCATTAAATATATTTTTTCTAAAAAAATTCAACCAATACGAAAACTTTTTAGCCGTTACAGCCCATTTAAAAATTTCATATGTTGCCCAGCCCAGCAGGGCAACGGGCCAGGCATTGCATATCTTTAATATCCAATATTGATAAATGAATCTCATAAAGTAAAAAGGATCAAAATGGGCGATAATCCTGAAATAGATATCTGAATAATTCTCATCAAGGTAAAAAGGACGAATAAATAACAAAATTAAATATTCAAAATTCAAATCCGATCAAATGTGTCTTTATTTATTTCTATTTCAATATATGGATGCATATCGAAAAAGAAATAAAACATTATTATATATCCTTAATTCGTTAATAATAGATATGAGCAATTGACATAATATTTATATTTTTTTCTTACTGTATGTGACATACCTTAAAGAGAAAAATTTAGAGGGTCTTCTAAATTCATACGCTTGTCAAATCAATTATTCAAATATGCATATACTCAAATGATAAAAGAGTAAAATGAATAGACCTTTGGTTTTCATCACATATTGTTGCTGGTAAATGGGTATAAGCATGTATTGCAAAGGTCATCTTACATAATAAAGGTTATAGATTAATATATCAGACGCCCAGGCACTTTTAAACTCTTCCTATATTAATGTAGATATTAACCCTCCTCTATCGCCATATCAAATCAAAATCTCCCTTTACATTCATCTATCACTCTTCTGTATGTTCTAGTGACCCCTCCAATTCAAATGACCACCTTGTCTCCACTATCTAGTAGAAGTTCTTTCAGACATAATTGCAAAAATACTAAAATTCAGGTGTGCCCTTCATGTAACCCTTTATAGCAATTAATATTATATGGCCAAACAAACATCTTTAAGTTTTAATCAAACTTAATACTAACTTGAAATTTTAAATTATTTTATTTAAAAAATATTTTGTTATATAAAATCCATTTAAAAAAAATCATTTAGATTTAAATCCCTTTTCACCATGACAACCAATCAAAAATACTTTGTTCACGTCATAGTAAAACTGTTGCAACTTATGAAATGGAATCGTTTCTCTATCGTTTATTATGAAAACAAATATTTTACACATTACAAAAACATGATTTTAGAAAATTTAAAAAGTTTAAAAGCTTGCGTAAATCTACAAATAAGATTATCCCCACCAATTTATAATGATACGGTTTTTGAGAATTTGTATAAACACTCATTTGTGGAGATGATAGAGAATTCAAAGAAAGCGAGGCTAGTTTTGTTGTTTTTGCCCAAGAAACTTAATATGATGGTGTTAAAAATAATAAAACTTTTGTCTCCAAACCATAATTTAATATTATTAGCTATCGACAATTGGCCCGATCTTGATGAAATAGTTAACGAAGGTTTGGCCACTACAGCTCTTGGGACCATTACTATATCCGAATTTAGTAGAAGTGTCACTGATTTTTCCAAGTGGATGGAAGCCTTCAAAGTCGACAACAAGTTGGCCTGGGTGAAAATGATTGTCTTAGGCAGAAATTATAATTTTCCTCCTTCGTTACTACTCTCACATCCTATAAATAAAACTCAATTTCCGGGGTCTAATTTAAGTGTTCCCGTAAAAAAGTTATATGATAAACGTTTTTCTGTTATTCTTGACACCGTTACTACATTGAGATATGCCATAGAAAATATGATACAAACTGTTTGTTCTGAAGGTGACCATAGAATGTTTTACAAAAACTTAATAGAATGCGTTAATAACTATTCAATTATTCCTTATATCCAAGACGTTTCTTTTGTAGGAAGAACGGGAGACATTAAGTTTAACAAATTTAAATCAATCGTTAAGTTACTAAGAATAGCCCAAATGATACGTAGGATAGATATAAAGAGTAATTATGTTAAATCGGATGAAATCTTCTATCATAATTATATATATAAAATGGTTGGAACTTACAATACCTTCAAAAATCAACTCACGATATTCAATCCTTTAATTTGGAAAAATTATAGCTTCGTAAATGGAGAAACCGCCCCACTCTCAAGTTGCAGCTTGCCTTGCATTCGTAAACATATAAAAATACCTTCGGATGTAATATGCTGTTGGAAGTGCGCGAAGTGCATCAAAAGGGAGGCTTATAGTCTAAATCTTACTATGCCCTGCTTTAATTGTTCCACTTTTACCTGGCCCGACTCTAACCGATTTAAATGTGTTGGATTACCAATAAAATATCTTTATTCGCTTAAACTTATGCGAGATCTCTTGGGTGTATTAATCTCGTTTGTTCTCCTTTGTTTTGTACTAGATATGGTGTTTCACATGTTTTACCACAATATTCCTACTTTTAAATCAGAAATAACACCTTTAATAGCTCTTAAATGCCTAGGAATTCTTCTGGGCCTCTCTACGTATATGTATATATTAATTAAACCTAGCAATCATTTATGTGTGGCATCGCAATTTATGTTGCTTCTATCTGTAACTATAAACTTCTGCTTACTGTCAGCCAAAATGCTTATTGCAAGAGTTGTGATAGAAAAAGAAATAATAAAGCTGCAAACTTCAGAAGACATTAAAATTCCAAGCAATTTCCATTTTACTCAAGTGCCATTCAACCTTACTGCAATTCAAGTTATTTTAAAATTATTTTAATTCATGCATTAAATTGAAATGTTACATATTGTTAAATATGATATTCATCTAATATATATTTTTTAGATATTTCAATAACGATAAATTTTATTATCCTTAATAAAATATTACAAACTTAAAAATATTAATCTATAAATTACCGTATCACACTAATATTATGTAACTATTTAATATCGATAAACAAACTTTTATTTAAATTTAAGTAAAATAAATTGAAAGTAAAATAATTTTGGATCAAAAGATTTCTTTTTATTTGAAAAGTAAATCAATTATTGATATAAAAAAGTCAATTATCAATATAAAAAAGTTAATATGTTTTCTTGTTGATATGAAAGTAAATTGGTATATAACAAAGTTACTCTTTCCTTGCTAAATAAATAATATAGATACAATATCTTAATTACTTAACATAATATATGAAAATATATAAAACAAAATATATGGGCATTATTAAAATAATAATACTATAATATCATTAGTGTTATAAATATTTCTTAAATATTTTATAATTTCTATATTTATATATTGTTATTGTTATTTTCTTGAATATATATTTCTGTAAAAATTTATTTTTCTCTTATATATTGCATCACCAAAAATTATGGTTATCACGCGGAATCAAGATCTCGCTGGGAGTGGTCAGCCCCCAGACAACCTCCTCACTCCCGATAACTCGTTATCTATCAACCCACCAGATAACACAGCTTCTCTCACGCAAGCTATATTGGCTATCTCGCAGCAAATGCAGAATATGTCAACGCGCATGCAAGCCATGGAACAGGCTCATCGTGAAAGATCGCCATCAAGGAGTAATATGACGTCAACACCGTACGTCCCTCCTAGGAGCAGACTTCCATCACCTGCACCAGCGCCACCTATCCTGCCGCCAAGACCACCGCCCATACCACTTACCATTGAAGAAAAAGTGGCTAAACTACAAAGAAATTGGGCTGGAGTTTGCACTGACCTCTTGGAGCCCCGCTGCAAGGCTAGCGAGCGAGATAGACACGAGCTTAAACATATTAAGGAAGTTGTTGACCAAATAACGATCGACACGGAGCCAGGAATTGTGGACTCAATGACAAAAAGAGTCAGGATTTTAGGCCTAGCCATTCATTGGGGCTGGGATACCGCCAGATTTAACGATATGTCATACCAAGAGAAATTTCTGGACTCAGAAGAAATCAAATTAGCCAGGGACCCCTTTCGAGCAAGGGCCCGTGCAGGGCCCTCAACCTCCTACCAACGGAGACCTGCCAGGAAAGAGACGACCGCCACCCGGGGTAAGAAAAGGAAATAAATACCCCTGCCATGATAAAAACACACTATTTCTCCCTTTCGCAACTATATCCTTTTAACATTTTTCCCTTTTTAAGGAAAAATGTGGATATAGTCGGATACTTAGGCCTTTATGGCTTTAGTATCCCTAAGGCTTTATTTACAAAATCAAATTTTTGGTGATGCAATATATAAGAGAAAAATAAATTTTTACAGAAATATATATTCAAGAAAATAACAATAATGATATTAAACACATTATAATGAGTATTTATAAGGATAAATATCGTCGGATGAATCGTTCTTAAGTGTTTGATTATTGTTTTAAAAATTTTGATTTTGTTGTTTGCCTTTAGAGTAAGTCGTGGCTTGTTATACTGATTTGTTCTAGTTCGTATGTGATTGTGCTGGATTGAAGAGAGAGTCCGGATATCAAAGAGGGGGTTGTTCCGATTGAGGGGACCGTTTCTTCACCGAATAAGGATATTTCCTCATCTTGGAGGAGTATATGTCCTGTTAGTGGGGCGCCTTCGAAGAGGGCGAGGCTGTCTCTGTTTCCGACCCACGATCTGGATGGTTCGTCCGCTGGGTTTTCGTCAGTAGGTATCCAGCGAATGTTTTGAGACAGGGTAGTAAAGTGCGGCAGCCCAAGTTTGGATAATATGCTAGTTATTACTATCTCGAGAGATGGCGATCTTGACCCACCTTTTCTAAGGGTATAGTAGGTTACCGTGGAGTCCGTCAAGATAATGGGAATTTGACCATCTTTGTCTAGTGCTAATAGGGCACCTACGCCGGCAGCAAGGATTTCCTTACCATTAATATGCTGGATAGCGTCCATGGGGACGTTGAGTAGTAAGGCTGCTTCGGTGTAGGAAATAGACATATCCTGATATCCCCAGAAAGATATACCGATGTGGCTGTCGGATGCATCTGTGTAGACCGGGTTGGATGCCGGGTATCGGATCTGCAGAGGATGCTTCAGGGCTTCGATAATCATTTCAGCCTTCCTGAATGCTAGGTAAGTATCCACTAGCGGTGTCATTTGGCTGTTCATCATTGTAGTGTAGAAGGGTGAGAAGAGCCTTGACATTCCCGTGATGGTATATGCGAAATGGTTGACCACACCGAGGACTTTGGCTGCTAGAAGTCTGCCTATTTCGAGGTGTTGGTAGGCGTGTTGCCTAAAGATATTAAGGCATTTTTCTAGCCTGCGTCTAGTATTGTCCGCGCTAAGGGTTTTATTGTGCAGATCAATGGGGACTCCTAGATAGGTGATATACGGCGTCGGGTCTAGGACTGATTTTTCCATTGATATTTCGAGGCCCCATCCTTCGAGAGTGCACCGGAGGGATCTCGTGGACCATTTGACAACGAATTCAGATTCCCCGTAGATCAAGATGTCATCTAGGTAGACATTGTAAGATGCTCTCCTTACAGTCTTTGCACAAGCGTCGAGGATAATTGACTGTAGGCAGTATGGGCTGAAGGACGCTCCCATAGGTAATACTTTGTATGCGTAATACTTGTTATCAATTTTGAAACCGAAAAATTTCCTAACTTGATGAGCTAGTGGAATCGAGAAGAAGGCTGATTTTATATCAATTTTGCAAGCGAACTTGGCCTTGTATAGGTTAATAGACATCAGAGGGATTGATTTTAGTTTGAACGGGTAGTGCAGGAAATTCTTGGATGTCTCCGAAAAGTCACTGATTACTCTGGGGTTTCCATTAGCTTTAGGTATTACGTACAGAGGTGAGCATAGTTGTGTGGAATCGGTTTCCGTTATGACGTCAGCCGCCAGCATTTGTTGTACGATGTCTTTGTATCGGCTGGAGATCGCATGGCTGTGTCTATGCGTGTAGTAGTGTCCTAGGTTATTGGCGATTTTGAGGGGGTCCAACCGAGGTCTAAAACCCCGGTTTGCTACACGTCTTGTGAAATTCGACATTAGCGGCCCGGGTGTGAGCCTGGCGGTGCTGATATCGAGTTGTGGGCGCTCCCGGAGTTGTTCGTCCGTGAAAGTCACATGAGTGTCAACGTTGGCTATTCCATTGAGAATATCCGGAAGGTTAGGCACTGTAGTTGACCCCACCTGGGGCATACCAGAATCTTCTCCGTCACTGTAGATAGAATCGACAAGGCCGGAAATGATGGACGCTTCCTCGGAGGCTCCACTGCTGCTAGAATTCCAGGATGCTGAAGATGCATTTGGAATCCACCACTCAGGAATACCTGAGTCTTCCGAACGGAAGGAGGGAGTGTCGGACTCCGTTGCAGCTGGTTGACCGGCGGGTACTAGTTCGGGTATGGACGGAATGTTATTATTGTTATTGTTATTTTCTTCGTCCGAACTAATACCTTCATCAGGAGAAAACAGTTGATGCCTCAATTCCCTTAGGTAAAGATTTACCCTTTTGAGCCAGTCTGGGAATTGCACTGTTTCTGCTCTTCGGACCGGAGGGCCGTTGTCCGGATTCGTGACTTCCGTTAGATCATGAATGGGTGGCCCTGAAAAGGGCCTTTTGGTATTAGGGGGGGGGGGTAGCAGAAGAAGAAGGGAGAAATAGTGTGTTTTTATCATGGCAGGGGTATTTATTTCCTTTTCTTACCCCGGGTGGCGGTCGTCTCTTTCCTGGCAGGTCTCCGTTGGTAGGAGGTTGAGGGCCCTGCACGGGCCCTTGCTCGAAAGGGGTCCCTGGCTAATTTGATTTCTTCTGAGTCCAGAAATTTCTCTTGGTATGACATATCGTTTAATCTGGCGGTATCCCAGCCCCAATGGATGGCTAGGCCTAAAATCCTGACTCTTTTTGTCATTGAGTCCACAATTCCTGGCTCCGTGTTGATCGTTATTTGGTCAACAACTTCCTTAATATGTTTAAGCTCGTGTCTATCTCGCTCGCTAGCCTTGCAGCGGGGCTCCAAGAGGTCAGTGCAAACTCCAGCCCAATTTCTTTGTAGTTTAGCCACTTTTTCTTCAATGGTAAGTGGTATGGGCGGTGGTCTTGGCGGCAGGATAGGTGGCGCTGGTGCAGGTGATGGAAGTCTGCTCCTAGGAGGGACGTACGGTGTTGACGTCATATTACTCCTTGATGGCGATCTTTCACGATGAGCCTGTTCCATGGCTTGCATGCGCGTTGACATATTCTGCATTTGCTGCGAGATAGCCAATATAGCTTGCGTGAGAGAAGCTGTGTTATCTGGTGGGTTGATAGATAACGAGTTATCGGGAGTGAGGAGGTTGTCTGGGGGCTGACCACTCCCAGCGAGATCTTGATTCCGCGTGATAACCATAATTTTTGGTGATGCAATATATAAGAGAAAAATAAATTTTTACAGAAATATATATTCAAGAAAATAACAATAATGATATTAAACACATTATAATGAGTATTTATAAGGATAAATATCGTCGGAGATAATATTGAATATCATTTTCCTAACATACGGAGGCTTCGAGCCGTTTCGGAAAGAGATTTTGACAGATAAAAGCAAATCCACTAAATGCTCAGATACCCAAGATTACAGGACAGTTGAAATTAGTTGTGCCATATACCCATCCTATTTATATTTTTTTTTAATTCAAATATTCTATCATATTTTTATTGCTATTTTATCCCTTTGGTTCACCTTAAGGTTGAAACGTTTTTCTATGGACAAAATCAAAGTTTATCGCTATAATATTATTAACGTATACATTA